CCCAACCCCACCTTACCTTTTTTCCCCTCTTCGTGTGTGATTCAAGGACTATTACTTGGTTGGCTTTGAAATAAAAGGTTCCTTACTCATGCAATCTCTTTTGGGTGTGGGGAAGCATGGCATGAAAATATGAGAGGAGCAGTTGCTTGTGTCTACGAACCAGATTTGTCTAAAAACCAGAAATTTCATCTTGTACAGATTTGTTATAGCACATTGTACACAGGTCTACATAATCAAAGAATATCTACACCTACTGCACTCATCTTTTTGCTTTGATCTACCAACAATCTCAAAAAAACTGCCTACCAATGTCATCTTGTGGACGCAAACATATCCCATTTTTGAGAAATTTGGGTTTGAAGAAATCCAGAATTTTCGGTTCTTATATTGAGTTCAAATAGATACTTCAGTTCTTCATACTGCTTTAGGTTGGATTTGTTCAAAGTCAAAAACCTCGAACATGAGGCGTCTCACATCTGGCTTTCCGTATACTGTGTATGAGAGCCCATGAATGGCTTGTTGAACAGAAGTAGTGGCTGGACCCCTGAGTCTTCGGTTATGCTCGTATGCATCTTGTACCTCTTCACTGTAAATGATGCAGCGGTGAAGATTCTTTTCCCTCAAGTACTTCCCACAGAACTTGTTCATCAGAACACGACGATGCTTCTCCTGTAACCATCTCCCTGGAGCATCCAGATGCTTCATAAGCAGTCTCTCAGCCATTACAAGATCCTGCATATATTAACACGGGACAATGATCAGACTGGTTGTACAAAATATTGTGCTTTTCTAGTCTCTCTCTAATTACATTTTCCAATCAAATGATGAAACAAAATATTATTAGTTTAACTTAATGTTGAGAAACAAAGCACCACTTTATTAGGTAGATGGACTAAGCCACATTTACATAAATGCAAGAAACAGTTACCTGGATCTTTTGGCCAACATATTCTAGCCTCTCGAAGCAAAATCGAGGATGTTCAAATTTGTATTTTGACGGGTGTAAGAAAGAAAGCTGCATTAAAAGCATTCAAGGGAAAAGAATCATCATTAGAGACGGGATAGACTCCATGAGAACACATGAGCCTCACAAGTTCATGCACAAACACATGCAGTTATACAAAACTACAAGAAAACAAAAAATCAATTATAACTGGTTGGGAAGTCCAGTGAAAAATGTGCGGCAAAAGAAAAGTATAATGCAAAACAAAATAAAACAGTTAAAGAATTTTGTAGAGTGCTAATTAGCACATTGTTTAGTGTCAGAAACCTACATCTACATCAAGCTTAGGCCTATAAACATAAATTTTCATACTCAATCAGAGGGCATAAAATAAAAAGAATAGGGCGGCTGCAGAAAGATTACCTGCAACCCAAGCCCAAGTTCTATATTCCTGGCTTCAGTAATCTCTGGAATTCGATCTGTCATTGCTAAGGGATATCCCAATGTTTTCATAACTCCAGGTCTGCTATCATAATCCCATATATTTCCACGGAATCGATGCATGCCTGGAGGAACACATGCCCTGAAAAGCCTTGGGTGTGCAAAAAGAGCATCTTCAGGAGGCTGTGAAAAATAATTGAAGTATTAGCTAGCGAACCCATCCAGACTGACAGGAACAAGATCCTCTCTATTCCATTCTAAACGATAACCAACATCGATTGTACCTAGATACAGTGACTCCAAATTGCAAACACCCGAGACCTCGACTATCCGCCCAAAAAATCATGACCACCACATGATACATGGTGCAGCAGATCACAATCAGTGGTGAACTTGGACATTATCATGGGACATCGACATGGAAGCTCTACATAGTTATTAATATTGTACGATACGCGATACGTATCGTACGATACACTAAAAAAACGATACGTATCGTATCTCTGTATCATTTTTACACTGTATTGTACGATACACAATACGATATGATCTGTCTGATACATACGATATGTGACGATTCTGTTTTTTTAATTTTTTTTTTAATTTTTTGGAGCTGAAATGACATTATTATACCCTAAGACTTATTTTTAAATTACTAGCCAGTGAAACGTTATATTTTGATTAATGACATAGTATTTTGAAATGACATTGTATTAAATCACTAGCCAGTGAGACTTATTCAATTGAGTTCAAAATTCCTGATTAATATTAAAGTTATTCAAGCAGTTGATGTAAGAAGCTTAAATTAGAGGTCTTTGTATTTTGATATTACTAAACTATACTTAAAACTTAAATAGTTTGTGGAATATAAATATATACCTTTGTAAAAAAACATAGACTCATAATAATATAGCATTTCATTAATATATATATATTATTAATAATTATTTAAAAATTAAATTGCGCGTATCTTACAATACACGATGCGATATGATACACTATTTTTGAAAAACAATACGCCTTCCAATACGCGATTTGACAACTATGCTATTCAAAATGTGAACAAATAGATATGGAATTATGCTTGTTTGTTTGAAAACTTCTAAATTCTTCTTATGTTTCCAAAATGTATTCACAACATTTTCGAAACGTTTCTATTTTTGAGCTAATTGAAAATATTCACTGAAAAAAAATTTTGATTCTTGCCTCGAACTTATTCGACCAAACAAACAACCATACCGTCAAAATCATCAATTGCAATAAGTGATTCCTTCGAATTAGCTGCATAAAAAGGCTTGTAGGGGATAAAAGCTCCCATGCAGTGTTATTCTATGATTGCCTCTAAGATGGGATGGGACAAATAATTGAATATCTGCTTCAATAAGATGAAAAAAAGAAACAGCTAATTAAATGGTTTGGAATGAAAAAATGAAACTAGTTCTCTTTACTTCAAAGCAACCTGCAAAACCACAATCCCTTAGATTTGCTGTAATCAACTTTTAGTCTCACATAGATTTTCAACCAATGTTACCCTTAGATCGTGGGTCACTTTGGTACGCCGTACGGGTACGCGGTATGAAACTTTCTTAAGCACACAATATGATAGAGCTAGGTTTAGTTGGTACGGTGTTTTAGATCGCAATTCGTTTTAGAACTCTTGTCTAGATTATTTTCCCTAATATACAACATTACATATCATAGAACATCCACAAACATTTCATCAATTACTGTTTATATTACATTTGTGTTTGATTTTCTATTATCTAAAATAATATATAATTATAAATCTATATGCTGATAGTCAATTAATATATATTTTATATTTGTGATACATGTTCCAAAATGAATCAATTTAGAGGTAGTATTACAAATTAAGGTTGTACATTTTTGTGATTTGGATGGCGAACTCAACCTATTTGGGATTGATGTACTTGATCGTGAGTCGTAATGAATTTAGTGAATTCTAATAACTATGTTTTCAACTTGTTCTAGTTTGTGTATGTTTTCAACTTGTTCTAGTTTGTGTCATAGACTTTCTCCGGATCACCAAACCATTTCTCTCTCTAGCATTTCCTCTCCAAATTCTTTAGCCCCCCTATCTCTCTCATCATATACATTCTCTTTATCTTTCCAATTCACCAGAGGATCAACAATCGCCTTTTACACTTGTGATTTAGTTGACCTTTTTTTAGCAAGTAAAAACCTATTTTAGTAAGTGATACAGTTGACGTTGCAAACAAAGAACCTGGGGATTTTTAGTCCATACTAGCAGAAACATTTCTTATATATCTTATATTTATGCTTGATTTTCTATTATTTAAAACAATATATAATTATAAATCTATATGCTGGTAGTCAATTAATATATATTTTATATTTGTGATACATGTTCCAAAGTGAATCAATTTAGAGTTAGTATTACAAATTGGGGTTGTACATTTTGGTGATTTGGATTACAAACCCACCTTATTTGGGATTGATGTAATTAGATCGTGAGTTGGGTTTAGTGAATTCTGATAACTATGTTTTCAACTTGTTCTGGTTTATATTACAGACTTTCTTCAGAACACCAAACCATTTCGCTCTCTAGCATTTCCTCTCTAAAAAACTTTAGCCCCCCCTCCCTCCTCTCTCTCTCTCTCTCTCTCTCTCTTATCATATACATCCACTTTATCTTTCCAATTCACTAGAGGATCAACAATTGCCTTTTGCACTTGTGATTCAATTAAAGTTTGTTCTAGCAAGTAAAAACATTTTTCGGTAAGTGATCCAGTTGAAGTTGCAAGCAAAGAACCTGTGGGTTTTTAGTTCATACTAGCAACAACATTTCTTATAGATCATATAGTTCTGACCAATAAATAGTGTGATATAAAACTTGCTGCAAGCTGATGAGCACATACTGCAATACAAGGATTCACGGAGACACGATGAGCCACGCCCTTTGACAGTATCACCATCAAGGAGACCTAATTGGTATCAATAGAATTCGGGTGAGGAGGCGTAGTTCGAATGACAAGGTTGATGCCTACACAATGATGTTTGATGGATTGCAAGAATACCATGAAATATGGATAGCAGCATTCTGTGCATCTTGGTAAGACAGGGAACTACTCAAGGGTTCATCCAAGTAGTGAAATGGCAAGTAGATTTCTTCTCTGAAATTAGAGGGGATATATGATTTTTGGTAGTTACTTTGTCTAAATGAGACTTTCTTAGTCTCAATTTTTCTTCTTCCTTTCATATTGTTGTTCGACTAATTGTCTCAATATTGTTTGTCTCATTTGTTTTGACTTTGTTTTAGAGTCTATCTCAAGGTGAGACATCGGATTTTTTTTCCAACGAGAGCAGATATTGGATTTTGTTGTTTCACTGGTTGATAGGTTTCCCCATTTGGTGCCTTTTTTGGCTCCAAATTCTTGAATTCCTGCTTCGACATATTCTCTGTTTCAAGGTTTTTCAAGTTTTATCTGAAACATATGTGCACAATTTAGATATTTAGGATCAATCATTAAAAATGATGGAGAAATTAGAGAAACTGTAACTCATAAAATTAACGTCGGTTGACTTAAGTGGAGGAAAGCTTCTGGTATATTATGTGATAGAAGGATACTAATAAAATTAAAAGGTAAGTTTTATCGAACAACTATAAGGATAGCAATATTGTATGAGACAGAATCTTAAGCAACTAGGAAACAACACAGTGACAAAATGAGTGCAGCGGAAATAAGAATGTTAAGATTGATGTATGGAAAAACTAGCAAAGATAGAATAAAAAATGACCGTATTAGAGAAATAGTAGGAGTAGCTCCAATTGAGGATAAATTAAGCGAAAATAGATTAAGATAGTCCGGTCATGTTTAACGGATGCCAATAGAGGTACTAGTTCGAAAAGTGAGAGAATTTCTCTTAATGGTACTAGAAATATAAGTAGACCTAAATTAACATTGAACAAAATAATAAGAAAAGATATGAAAATATTTAACTTAAATAAGTGTATAACGCATGATCGAAATGAATAGCAAAAACGGACTCATATAACCGACCCCCAAATGATAGGGACATAAGGCTTGGGTTGGTATATGTGCACCATTTCTTTCTTTAATAGATTGTATAATCTAATGACCCAAATATCATGCTAGTTGCATAAAACTTGAAAGTTGCAAGTCACCTTTTCAAAATAAGGTACTGTCGTGACATATGCATCTTATTTTCACCAATTTTTTTGTTGATTGTTGAGAGATATCAAAGAATCTCGTGGTTCCTTCCAGATTTTTGAGTGATATTCATACAGTGCAGACTCTAGTTTTTTGGTTGTATACTCTGATTGTTTAAATGTTCTACCCCCCCTTCCTGCCACATGGTAAGAGAATCCTGTCTAATTCTAAAAAGAGCATTTAAGATAATCTTTGAAAAATACAAGTCAATGACTAATATAGACTCGTTAAAAGTGTTACGAATGTCAAACTTACACAGAAACTTTATTAACAGGTTGAATAACTCATATCATGTTACCTGTTTAATAAAAGAGTCATGCAAGGCTAGGTGGTCTTGACAATGATTGTTTAATTATATTGCGTTTGGTTGTTCTCTGAAATAACCTAATGCAGTAAAAGAAAGAAAGAGAGGGAATGAAAAGGCAAATGGAACTTGCCTTGTAAGTAGCAACGTCTTGCCAACTGAGCTTTCTGCCTTCAAATTCCACCGACACATAATCAACATCTTCAAGTTGTCTCCTTAACTTGGGCTGGCACTCTTCGTCCTCTGGGTCCATTCCAAATACTTCAAAAAGAACCCGGTAAACTTCTGGCATACCAAAACATAAATATATTGCTCCAAACAAAGCCCAAAATACAGATCTGCCCATAAGAATGTAACTTCGTATTAAAAGCAAGGCCAAATAAACTTAGTTTGCCGCCACCAACTATATGCACAATGTAAGGCAATGACAGAAACAAATTAATTTATCTCGATTTTAAACCACCCTTCTGGTATCTCGATTTTAATTACTCATTGCGCATAACTGCATATGCACTAAAAAGGCAAGAATGAACAAAACGGCACAAAAAAAGAGATCCTGGACCAAGTAATGAACAGGTAATTTACACTTCCAATTATCATCAGAGGAAACGAGTTCAAATGGTTGTCTATCATCAACTTCTATTATGCCTCCAAGAAATGTGTACGTAACGTTGTAACATGACTGAGGAAAAGATGGAGATACCAGAAGGGCAAAGAAGCCAGTAATTATCACTGTCATGAAGGCTCTTCATCTCCTGTGGCGTTCTATGTTTTTATAAGAGCACCTCAAAACCGTCTTTTCGTCATTCTCCTTATTCCTGGTTATGGTCATTATGCTTCCATTACAACATTTGAGTTTTGTCCATCTTTTGCTGTTCCAAGCCTATAACTACTTCATGACCAGCAGTATATGATTACCAAACCCCAAAACTCAATAGTACATGGCCATTTTTCACATCGTCTCTATGCTTTTCTGTTAGAATCTCTAAGTGAAATCGTTGCTCAGCATCAGCATGTTACAACAGCAGCTAACAAAATCTTTCTTCAGTGGAAATTGTACTGGCCGACCAAATTGGAAAAGATATAGATTGACAGCTGGAATAACTAGGATGCAGCCTCAGCACCAAAGAAACAGATCACAAACACTAAGCAAACTAATTTCAGTGTCCCAAAAAAAATTCCTTTAGCGGCAGCACTTCAATTCAAAAACATCAACCTCCTTTAGTCGTCAGCATTGGGTTCTTCACAGTAAATTCTACTGGCATAAAATGATATACACAACATCATCCATCTGTTAATTAAGATTATGTTTTCATATGCTTTCTGTAAATTGCTGATGGTATTCAGAAAAGTCTTTTCCAGAAAAATTATTTTTCTCATTGAGTAACAAAATTCTGATGATAGTCATCTATTTCACCATAATCAGTTCCACAGAAGATCGTACGCATACAGGAGCATCCTCCACTGCTCCACGTTAAGACTACCTTGTACCGTATGCCTATTACAATTTTGTTTATCAGCTACAGTAGCTTTCATGGTCAACTTCTTAAAGGCAATGTCATGGTAGTTTCTTGAACAGCGGTAACAGCAACGACAATGTCAATGGTCACAACGTAATCAATAGAATACCAAGGAAGTTGCAAGAAAAGAGAGTGGCATTGCTGATTGATACCAAGTTTAATCAGAGAATGCCACCAGTGGTGAGAAGCGGATAGAAGCATTCCAATTAGACATAGGCATCATCATTTATTCTTTACTGGCCAAGTATGAATGCTTAAATGTGTATATCCAATTATAGAGCCACCAAGTACAATACTGTCTATTTTACCAGGAAAAGGAAAGCACAAACTTGCTTCCTTTGCCTCAGGTTGAAGCCTAGACAATATGTTATACCAAATTACCAATATACCTAGCAAACTTGAGTTCATTATCCTCGTAACACATAACAAAACAGGTAACAACAAACAAGGACTCTTGGACACACCATTAAGCATTATTCTGTGAAGTTTTATTGGCATATGCTTTAACTCCAACTTTAGTTTCAATTACAGGGCATATCAGCTAATGCATTCATGCAATCTAACAGCTTGGTAAGCATTCAGTGTAAGCCAGACGATAGCACAACTAAGATAAATTAGTTCAAAATGAGTCAAAAGCATCAAATCCCAATTAGTAACCAATGCTATAACTTACTTCACAGGGGGTTCTCGGTCCTTCCGGAGCAACTTATCCATATCATCATATGGAAATACCAAATTTTGCAAGCTTGCAGCTTTAATCCACTTGGGAAGATACCTCTTCCCAATCAATGCATACACTCTCTCCCTCATTGGACCTGGCGACTCCCTCGGATACCTTTGCAAGTAAAACTCACACAACGCTAATTCAAGCACGTACTGCCCCAAGAACCACAACCTTGAATGCCCCGACCGGATGTGCCGAGCATTAGTCCTCTCACAATGTGGGTGCTGAAAAGCCAAGTACAACAACGTATCAAATTGTTTAGCTGGGTTATCGTCCCCATAATTATCTGATGGCTCTAATGGGTACCCAAGAGCTTGCTTGGCCTCAAGCAAGTACTCTTCAATCCAGGTCTTATCAGCATTGTTAAGCCGAGAAGATGGTAAACAAGAACTCAATAAAGGGAACTGTTTGAGTGACAATTGGGGACTGTTTAGAAATCTTTCAGCTAATTTCTTATCATCAAGTGGGGGTTTTAATATGAATCTTTTCGGGGGTACTTTTTTCCTAGGAGATACGACTTTTTTACGCTGTGCGAGCTCTTTGAGAAGTCTTTGGGGGCTGTTTCGTGGGAGTTCTTTTGGGTCAACCGCAACGGCCAAAATACGGAAATTTGGGTACGTGGGTTGTGTAATTCTTGGTATTCTGAGGTGGATTTGGAAGGGGAAGGGTGAGAATGAGGATGAGAAAGATAGTTCAGGTTTTGAGAGGGGTTTGAAGGGTGAACAGAGCTCCATAGCTGTAGTGGGAGAAGAAATCATGTAGGTTTTGAGTGAGATGGAGAGAGGAACATCAAGAATTTCAAGTATTAGAAATGGGTTCTGTATGGGTCGTGGTTCAATATGGTGGCCATAGATGGAGGTTTTTGCAGGGGTTTGCTGGATACTGAGGGTGGAGACTGGAGATAAGGTGTAGACTGTGTAGTGTGTCAAGAATACAGAACGAGAAAAAGAAAAATTACACAACCTGCGCTAAGGTTTGCTTTTATTGAATTGTAACCCTATAGTTTGAGAAATTATAGAAATACCCATTACGATTTTAGCCTTTAGGTAAACTTATTATCACGGGGTAACTTTCATTTTTCTTTCGAGACTACCTGTGAAGGCGTTGTTATTGCAACCAGCCACACACAAACTCAAGAATAAGAGACAAAAACTCACACAGAAGGCACACACAAACTTACTGGGACAAAGCTCCCAAACCTTATATATTGAACTCAACAATTTACAAGAAACTCTCAAAGTCAGAACACTCTCTCTCTATCAGAATGCTCAAGCACCCCTATTTATACAGGAGTAAGACAGATGACACCCACATCTGCCAAGGGATAGTTACACATATTTTTTCTATTCCATAACATACTTGGCTAGCAGACTTGGTCTCTGTGCGACACCTGGCAGACAGTTCCACCCTTTTGAGTAACTGATATGGAACTGCCCTTCACCAGCATGCATCTGGACTGAATTCATACTAGGGGCACCCAGAACTGCCTCAGCAACTGCCCTGATTGTGTATCAACATCTACAACTGTCTACATCCTCCTGGTCACATGTATTGAGCAGCCATGTGCCAATCATGTGCCCACATTCAGCAGTCAGCCTTGCTTCACGAACCAACGTGCATGCTGGATTCAACTCATGTCATGCAATCCGAAGCTATGCACCCACATTGCTTTAATTGAGCCCACCACGTGTTGCCATGCTCAACCGGGTGGTCTCATACTGCCTTGGTTTGCCCTAATCTATCGAACCACTTAGCCGCGTCACCTTGATTCCAACTTATGGCATGCCTTAGTGTAAAGTGCCACAAAGACCGGTCATTTGCATCCAAGTCAGTTAGGGTGTGACAAGCCACCCCCACCTGAAGTATCCAGCGACCTCGTTGGAATGGAGGCATGGTATTACTTGATGAGATCTTCGAACTGCAATAATGTCGTCTTTTTCTCCCAAGTGGCTTCCTCCGATGTTTTTCTTTTCCACTTGACTAGGTAATGAGTTCTTCTGTTTTTCTTACTCATTTCCTCAGTCTTGTGGTCAAGGATAGCTTCAGCTATTTCTGTGAATTGCTTCCTGATTGTTGGAGGAGCCCGACGCCGAACGTATCTGGTAAGGTCCTCCAGGTCCTCAATATAAGGCTTCAAGAAGGTAACATGGAAAACTGGATACAGCTTGAGACGACTGGGAAGATCCAACCAATAGGTCAACATACCAATTCTCATTGTTATAAGGAAAAGGTCGTCATAGCGCTGGATTAGTCCCTTGTGTGCAGACTTTCGAGAGATCTTGTTCCAGATTGGTGGGGTCAATTTCAGCATCACTTTGTCACCCACTTTGAACTCTACTGCCCTCCTCTTCTCGTCTGCCCACTTTTTCATCCTCTTTACCGCCTTAGTTAAACAGTCTTTTGCCTCGTCGGTCCACTCCTGATTGGCCCGAGCAAAACGGTATGCTGCAGGACATCTCCCTTAAGACTTCTGCTTGACAACTTCATGCGGGAAAAGAGGTTGTTGGCCAGTTGCCAACTCAAATGGGCTCATTCTAGTGAAAAACTCTGTTGGAGGTTATAACTAAATTGGGCTACATCAAGTAAATTCACCCAATTATCCTGGTTTGCTGTGACATAGTGTCTGACATATTCCTCCAGCATTGCATTAACCCGCTCGGTCTGCCCATCTGTTTGCGGATGATTGCTAATGGAAAGGTTGAGTTGTGTGCCCAACAGTTCAAATAAAGTCGTCCAGAACCGGCCAGTAAACCAAGTGTTCCTATCACTGACTATATCCAGCGGAAGACCCCAAAGCTTCACAATATGCTTGAGGAACAAGTGAGCAGTAACTTCCGTCGTACATACTTTTGGGGCAACAATGAAAGTGACATACTTTGAAAATCTGTCTACAACCACAAATATCGAAGTAAAATTGTTCATCTAAGGCAAGCCATTAATGAAGTCCATGGAAACACTCTCCCAAGGTTTGCTTGGAATAGGGAGGGTTTCCAACGTACCCTCCACCTTCTTCCTTTTTGCCTTATCTTACTGGCACGCCAAACAAGTGCGCACATATAGCTCCACATCTGCTTTTATACGGGGCCAATAATAGCTTTCTGCTAGCAAGGCAAGAATCTGTTGCTGCCCTAGATGTCCAGATCACAGAGCATCATGAGTTTCTTTCAGCAACATTTGTTAAAGTCCGCCTGACTTCGGAACATAGGTCTCCTTCCTTTGGTGTAGAGAACACCATCCTCTACCCAAAATCATTGAGTCACTCCTTCGTGAACTTGCTTCAACAATAAGCTGGTCACTGGATCATCTTTTGTCTGATCCTGAATTCTCTGCAGTATGTCTCCTGCAATCTGGCTAAGTGCAACAACCGTCCCATCAGCAACTGGGATTCGACTAAGAGCATTAGTAACCTGATTTGTACTGTCAGGCTTGTACTGCAACGTGAAATGAAACTGGACAAGAAAGTCCTGTCATCTTGCTTGTTTTGGTGTCAGCTTCTTCATGGAATTGAAGCAGCTGGTAGCCACATTATCTATCAGTACAAGGAAATGCTTCCCCAACAAGTAATGCCTCCATGCATTGATGCAGTGAATGATTGTTGTCATCTCCTTCTCATGTACTGAATACTGCCTCTCGGTATCATTCAACTTCCTACTTTCAAATGCCACCGGATGCCCATTATGCACCAGCACCCCTCCAAGAGCAAAGTCTAATGCGTCTGTATGGACCTCAAAAATCAAATCAAAGTCAGGTAACCGTAAAATTGGGCTAGACATTACCATCGCCTACAATAGATCGAATGCCTCCTGGCATTCGTAGGACCAGTTCCATGTCCTATCCTTCCTTAGAAGATCAGTCAGCACCGCAACCTTCTTTGAATAATTCTTCACAAATTTTCGATAATAGTTTGTCAAGCCAAGGAAAGAACGCAGTTCAATAACCTTAGTAGGGATAGACCAATCTGCAATGGCCTCAACTTTCTTCGGGTCCATCTTCACCACGCCCGCAGAAATAATATGCCCAAGTAATGAAATTTCCTTCTGTGCAAACTCACAGTTTTCTGGTTTCATATACAACTGGGCTTCCCTCAACTTTGTCAAAACCAGCCTAAGATGCTCAACATGCTCCTCAAGAGTCTGGCTATAAACAACTATGTCGTCTAAATAAATCACCATGAAACGGTCTAAGTATTCCCGAAAAACGTTGGTCATCAAGTTACAGAATGTAGCAGAGACGTTGGGTAAGCCGAAAGGCATGCCTAAAAACTCATATGACCCGTACCTTGTCACACAAGTAGTCTTCGCCTCATCTCCCTCTGTAATTCTGATTTGATGATATCCCAACTGCAAGTTCATCTTGGGGAAGAAAACCGTCTTTCTCAATCTATCAAATAATTCGTCAACAAGCGGCACTGAATAGTTATTTTTGACAGTGACTTTATTGAGGGCTCTGTAGTCTACACAAAGCCGTAAGGATCCGTCCTTCTTTTTCTGAAACTAAACAGGGGCTCCATAAGGTGCCTTGGAAGGTTGAATGAACCCAATGTCCAATAAACCCCCAAGCTGTCTCCTTAGCTCCGCCAACTCTGATGGAGACATTTGATAAGGAGCCTGGGCAAGAATTTTTGCCCCTGGAATCAACTCGATGGCATGATCAATCTCCCGTCTTGGCGATAACCTTGCTGGCAATTCTTTAGGTGCAACGTCCTTGAACTCAACCAGCAAATGTTGCACTGGTTCAGGGACTTGCAATGCTTTGGACTCCTCTTCCTCAAATAGAACAGCCAAGTATGTTGATTCTCCCTTTCGCAAGCCATCTTTTACTTGCAAGGCAGACAACATTTCCCCCAAAGACTTAGCCTTAGTGAGGGGAACAAAGTAGGGATTAGGCATGTCCATCACGAACATCCCATGTAAATGCGGCATAGCAGACACCTTTGTCTTTGTAAGGAATTAGAGTCCAAGGATTACCTGAAAATCATCAAGAGGGACTGCCATAAAATCACATGGTCCTTGCCAATCACCAACTTTTAAAGGGACTTCTCTTGCGATGCCACCTACTGGTTTTGCCTCTGAATTAATAGCCTTAATCTGGCTAGAGTCTTTCACCAAAGCCAGACCAAGCAGCTGTACTTCCCAGTCAGAAACAAAATTATGGGTTGCACCTGTATCAACCATTGCCTGGACAGCCACATTGTTCAGGCGAATCTGTACAAACATCAACCCCCTCTTTGCCACCGTCTCCTCTTTGTGAATTGCATTAAGGAGTTGTAATGAGTTGACTCGTGTTAGTTTGTCAGAACAGTCAGTTTTCTTAGCCATGAAGGCACTGAGCTTTTCCTTCTTGGGGTAATTTCTGGCACGATGAGGGTCATTATAGATAAAACAGCCTGAGTCAGCCCCTCCTTTTGATGAAGAGGCTTTGTCAGTAGGTTTTTCTGAATTTCCAGACTTCTCAGCCTTTTTCTTTTGTTTGTCCTTCTTAGGGAACTTGGATTCCCCTTTTGACTCCTTCTCTAGAGGGTTAGTCTGCGTTTTATAGTCAACCAGCACGTCTGCTGCGGACATAGCAGCGGGTAAGTCCTTCACCCCTTATCGACGAAGTTCTGCCTGTGCCTAAGTTTAGAGGCCAGACATAAAGTTGAACAACTTGTCTTCCTCTGACATATTTTTGATATCAAGCATCAGAGACGAGAATTGCTTCACGTACTCTCTCACGGTGCTTGTATGTCGAAGTTTTCTCAATGCATCACGGGCTTGCCAAGCCGTGTTGCTGGGAAGGAATTGCTCCTTCATTTCAGTGGACAAAAACTCCCAAGTAGTAATTGGAGGATGAGATTTGTTCTCAGAACGTGTTCGCCACCATAATTTAGCATCACCAGACAGGTACATGCTAGTGAGATCTACCTTCTCAGCATTCGAAGTGCGGACTGCTTTGAAGTAGTGCCCTATATCCCACAGAAAGTTCTCGAGTTCTTTAGCATTATGACTGCCTGTGAAAGGCTTAGGGTCAGACACTTTAGCTTTCTGAG